GCCTAAGCCTGAGCGATGAAGATGCTCATGCTTCCTCAGGGAAGAATGCTATGTGAACTTAGAAATTAACAAAAGGGGAAATGGCTGCCCTTCATATTGTCCTGCAGAAAGCAATATACAAATTTAAATAATGGTAAAATCTTGTTATAAAGACCTTAAGCCTCACAATTTAGCAACAGGCTTATGGTAGCCAAGACATCAGAGAATGATTTGTTACTTAGGAGTGAAATTGCTAACAGTCTTGGATTAATTACCAAAAAAAAAAAAAAAATGCTGCTGTAATAAAAGCAGAGATCTGGTAACCCTGCTTCACTTCCTTCCTCTTGCTGACTGCTTTCTAATTATTTTACTTTTGATTAGTACTTCCATTAGAAAATAGGAAGAAATTATGAACAACTTACTTGGCAACCATTGAAATCAGTAGTTTAAATGTATATTTGGGACTATATTTACACTGTTCAATTTTAATTTTTGTCTTGCCCAAGCAGATAACATAAAGTTAATTATACAAAAATCAACCAGTGCAGAAAGTCTATTGGAAACAGCCATTCTTGACCCTTTGTAAAGATATGCCCCTGATGAATTAGTTGCAAGGTTTCTGCTTATGCTGAATTGCTAGTACTTCCACTTGTAATAGCAAAATCACTGTCTGAAATTTCTCAGTTATTTCAAACCAGGTTTTAAATTATGAGGCTTAAAGTATGCTTAAATAACTCTGAGTTCTTGAGTAAACACTGCATTTTTTTGATGAGACAAGTCATATGAGCCATTCAATGGCTTTAATTCAATCCAGAGAGTTGATATTTTCTCCTCAGTCCTCAAGGTTGGATAGTTTAAAAATGTTTCTGAGATTGAATTGAAACCTGTAAGAGCTATGAAGCCATCCATTAGTCTGTATTTATGGATGGTATTGAATAAAATTTGCCTCAACAAATAAAAATCCTTTCAATATAGTACAATTTTTTAAACATTTAAAAAGCTATTTGATTGGTTTCATTATTTTTGTGTGGAAGCAGTGTTGTAACAAAATTTTATTGCAAAGATTGACTCAAATATGGAAGTAGTTAGATTGTCTAACTAGAAGAGAGAGTGAATAATCAGGAAAGGAGAGACTATTGAAAAATGAGCCTTAATGGAGAATCATTGAATTTCAGAGTTGCTGGAGACATTAGTAATTATTCAGTTTCATTTCCAGATTTCTTAGATGAGGAAGCTGTGGCATGTTGCTTAAATTCAATGCCTATTCCACAAATCCTATCTAAGCTTTTCAAGCTTCCTCCTCCCCTCACTCCCAGAAAATTGCCTTGATTCAAATTTTACAGAGAAGTGAGAAATCGTAGGTCCCAGGAGTCCTGCTATCTACAAACCCATGTCGTTCACTATGAGCCTCCTGTTTCAGAGGGTGACCCTCTCATCCATCCTGTGTCCACTTATCTCTGGAACTTAGGTCAAACCAACCCCTCTAGGTTTCTGCTTTATCTCTCCTGCATATGCTTTCAGTTTCTCCCTCTCTGTTGGCTCTTTCCCTCAGCTTATAAACGTGTTCAAGGTTCTCCCGCCTTTATTAAAAACGTGCACACACACACACATACACATTCACATCTGGATATTCAAGCAAGATGACCTTCTAAATTCATGTTTTGAGACCTTTTATAGTCCATAGCAATGATAGATAAAATAGAAAATTGATCTGATGATGGTTAATATCTGCAGATGGCAAACATTTGCAGAAATGGTACCAAAAACATGAAGGTGAAAAAATCAACACATTGTATACCTTAAATTTACACCATATTGTATGTCAATTATATCTCAATAAAAATAAATTTAAAAAACCATGAAGCTGAAGCTGCAGATCTGATGGACTCTGAGTCTGGAAGGTAGAGGCCACCAAGAGTTCAGCTCCAGTGGGTAATGGGCTCCATGAGCGCTACATCAAATCCATGAAAGAGGAAGGAAGAGTTACTGCTCATCGCTGCCTGGAGCTGTGTCTTCTATGAAACTGCTTAACTAGGGGCAAAGGAGGAAGCAGATACTTCCTTGCAACCAGGACTTGAGCTGGGCTGATCCGTGAGTCACAAATACTCAACAAGATTCTGGATTCAGGGCCCTGGGAGTCAGGGTGGGGGTACAACCACAAAACTTTTAAATGACGAAAAAAGAATAGTGAGAAAGGAAAACAAATCTCCCAATGAAGATGAAACAAAGTTCCAAATAATTACATAGAGGTAATTATTACTAAGAAAGATAGCCAATAAAGTGAATAATCAAGACATAAATCATATATATATGAAGTTAAAATATAAAACAATTTGGAGAAATGCTTAAAATAAACCTATTTAGGACCCCTAAAGAAATAAAGGGATAATTTTCTCAAAATAAAATGTTAAATTAGGAAAAACATACAGAATGAAACTAAAAGAAGATAGGAAGGAGAAGTAGAAATATTTGAAATTAGAAATATGGTGATTGAAATTAAAAACTTAACAAAATAAACTCTAGACTCACACAACAGGAGAATTGGTAATTGGGAAGATGAACCAATTGATTTATCTATAACACATTAAAGAGAGATGAAAGGAGAGAAAAATAGATAAATATGAAAGCACATTTAAGAGACATGTAAGATCATTAAAAGGCTCCAATAATGTCTGATAAGTATTTCAAAAAGGAGAATAGAGACAATATAATACATGAAATAACAAAAAATATAATGCCTGAGAATATTAAAGAATTGAAATAAAAAAAGATGGGTGGCCTCAGATTAAAACTGCTATGAAGGTGTCTGTTGCAACTTCTCAACTCTGCCATTGTAGAGTGAAAGCAGCCATAGACAATGTGTAAGTGAACGGACATGGCTGTGTTCCAATAAAACTTTATTTATAAAAACAGGCAGTCAGGGCCAGCCCCTCGGCCAAGTGGTTGAGTTTGCACGTTCCGCTTTGGCGGCCCAGGGTTTCATGGGTTCAGATCTTGGGAGCCGACATGGCACCTCTCATCAGGCCATGCTGAGGTGGCATCCCACGTAGCAGAACTAGAAGAACCTACAACTGGAATACACAGCTGTGTACTGGGGGGCTTTGGGGAGAAGAAGAAAAAAGGATGATTGGCAACAGATGTTAGCTCAGGTGCAAATCTTTAGAACAAAACAAAACAAAACAAGAAACAGGCAGGCAGCAGGCTGAATTAGTCCAAGGGACTGTAGTTTGACAACCCTTGATCTAAAGAATTAACCATTGTTTATATTTTCATGTATATCCCTCCAGATATTATATATATATATTTAATTTTATATATATGATTAATTAACAATGGTCAATTGCTTATATATATGATGTATATTATACACAAATATATACATAAGTAATTTAAAAAGTTATAACTGAATCGTACATGACTTGGACCACACTTGCTCTTCTGAGCATCCACATTCGGACAACTCTCAGTATCCATCATCATATTGGAAAAAAAACCCCTACTCCCCAAACAGAGATGAATGATGTAGTTTTTAAAGTTTTTGAGGGGCAGTGGAGGAGGGCGTACATCACACCACCCAAGGTAAAGCTTCCTAAAAGTCCCATTTGCTCATCTCTCTTTCCCCCCACTGTTTCTCCACCTGTAGCAGGCAGCTGATATTCACCTCTCCCTCCACTTTCCTGTCTCAGCACCATCCTGCAGCTACACGGGTCCTCCATCTTTTCCCTCACCCCAGTTCTGAAAATCCCCTCAGCCCCCATATCCAAACCACCAAGTAACCCAGTAACCACAGGCCTAGCAGGAGAAAATCCGGATCCCTAACCATAGACAGACCACCTATGGTTTCTCCAGCACATTCCAGGGAGGAGCTCAATTCATTCCGCCCAATATACACCTACATCATTGATTTTGATGTGATCATCAAAACCAATGCATGTATCATTATTTATATAACCAAGTCCCTAATTTTGAACAATTAGGCTACATACTGAAAATCTTTTATTGGCTGAGCCTTTTTTTTCCTCACAAATCCATGCACTGTATCAGTCAATACAGTTCACGCAACTGTGTGGAAAGCAAATTTGCAACTTAAAATGCATTTTATCAGAAAAAAATCATGTCTTTGAATAGTAAACAGGTTTAAAAAGAAAAAAAAGGCTCAGAGGGTTAGAAGTCAGAAAATTCAAGTTATCAGGGTCTTATAATCTTTCTTTCTTGTGTGACTGTAGGCAAAGTCCCCGGGATTTTGTGGGTCAGTTTCTCAAACAAATAACAGAAATGAAAACAACTGTCATTGGCTCCTCTCACAAAATAGTATGATTTTAAAATCTCTATTAGTTTCCTGTGGCTGCTGTACCAAATCACCACAAAGTTGGTGGCTTGAAACAACAGGAATTTATTCTCTCACAGTTCTGGAGTCCAGAATGCCAAAATCAAGGTGTCGGCAGGGCTGTGCTCCCTCCAAAGACTCTTGGAAAGAATCCTTCCTTGCCTCCTCCAGCTTCTGGTGGCTCCAGGCCATCCCTAGCTTGGGGCTGCATGACTTGAATCTTTGTCTCCGTCTTCACGAAATCTTCTTCTGTCTCTGTGTCTTCTCCTCTTCTAAGGACAATTGTCTTTGTATTTAGGGTCCACCTGGATAGTCCAGGATGATCATCTCAAAATCCTTAACTTCATTATATCTGCAAAGATCCTTTTCCCACATGAAGTCACATTCCCAGGTTCTGGGGGCTAGGAGGTGGACATATTTTGAAGTCCACCATTCAACCCACTACCATATTGTTTTTAATTGTTCTGAGAACCCAGAAGGAATAAGTAAATCCTTTGATTCAATCATAAATGAGTAGAATGTGAATCAAAAATACTAGATGTCATTTTTCCTAGGTACCGGTGTACATTTAAATAATCTCCCTAATTTCTTTTCAGCTCTATTTACATTTTCAAGTGTTGGCAATGAAGGTTATCAAAACAAACTAAAACTTTAGTAACTTGCTTTTAAGCCAATGTTTTTGGTTCTTTTTAAGCGGGCATCGCAGTCAATGTTAGAACGGTCTGAACAACAGATTAGGGCAGCTTCTGGTTTGGAGGAACTGCTGCGGATCACGCACTTTGAGGACTGGAAGCTGTGGAGATGCCGGCTGAAGCTCAAGAGTTTTACCAGCACAGACACTCGCTCTGCATCCCATCGGTCCACCAGGTTTGCGGCAACTTTCTATGACATTGAAACACTGAAAGGTAGGTGTGTGCATATGGAGGCCGATTCTTGCTCTTTATCAGATAGTGACAAATGCACCAACTTCTTCCAAAAGCTTGAGTAGGGCAGGCACGTGTCGGGAAAAGAAAAGGGGGTCTTTGATTTCATAGCTTTCATGTTACTGGAGAATCCTGGTTTCCTGTGTTTACTCTGCAGAGACATATATTCAATATGATTTTGAGATAAAAAACCAACACAAGGGGCTGGCTGGGTGGTGTACTGGTTAAGTTCTCATACTCTGCTTTGGTGGCCTGTGATTCACGGGTTCAGATCCCAGGCGCGGACCTACATACTGCTCAGCAAGCCACACTGTGGTGGCATCCCACATATAAAATAGAGGAAGATCGGCACAGATGTTAGCTCAGGGCCAATCTTCCTCACCAAAAAATAAAAATAAAAACCGAAAAACCAACACAAAAGAACACTTCAAAATACAGAAATATATTTAACTCAGAGATGTGAGGGCAAAACAAACCCAGAAAGACTGTTCTCAATAGAAAAAAAAATCACTGGGTTTACTTAAAAAATAAAACAACCTGGGTGTTCATCAGCAAGGAGCATTCTACTAACATACGTACACGGATAAATCCCAAGAGATTAGGTATAGCTTTTTTGTTTCTTCAAAATTCTGTGATGTATTTTAGTAAAAATGAAAAGTAGAAGTTAGAGGCTGAGTTGTAATAATACAATTACTAGGAGAATAATGAAGGGGGAAATTCTCTAGACAAAAGAATCCAAACTCCAGATTAGAAAATAACATAATTTGAAATAAAGGGAATGACTGTTCCTTAGTAGGGTATGGAGGTTCTTTATAAGAAAACCATTGTCCGTATGTACTATGCCATAATGAATGAAATGCTTGCCAAATAGTGTGGTCTCCGATTTGGCATTTAACATTTTTGATGACGTGTCAAAATGACACAAGAAGCCGCTGTGGCGTTGTTGATCTAGTATTTTAGATTTGATCAACATATGATTACCTGGTAACAGATTATATCTATCACATGATTCAAATTGACCACTAAGCCGAAATTATTATTCTCTTTCTTTCTAGAGTTATCTTTATTTTTTGCCATTTGTAAAAAGATGATGTTGCACAAGCCACTGTTGTTGGCTGTGGAGAAGGCTGTGCATGAGCGGGGATAAATCTCTCAGCAGCACCGCCGGCATGAGTGTGGAGAGCATTCTTTGTGCTCATGTGTATGGCTGTGTGTCTAAATGAGTTGAGGTGGTTGGAACCATGGCCTAGAACCCACTTCAGACAGATTTTGAAGCTCTTGTTGTTTCTATCTGGTGAATTAGCATGGACCTCATGAAAACAAAGGGGTCAGACCTCACCTGGAGATCCAAGGCCTTAACTTAGATGACCTGTCTCAAGATCTGAGGTGAGACATCCGCGAAGATGGAGGTAGACAAGCGTTATGATAAAATCAAGACTAGGTGATAAAAAAAAAGTGACATTGACATTTTCTAAGGAGGAAACCATAAAAAATATATTTAAAAAATATTTTAGGGGCCAGCCTGGTGGCATAGTGGTTAAGTTTGCAGTGCTCTGCTTCGGCGGCTGTGGGGTTCACAGGTTCGGATCCCAGGTGCAGACCTAGCACTGCTCCTTGAGCCACACTGTGGCATCATCCCACGCAAAATAGAGGAAGATTGGCACAGATGTTAGCTCAGGGCCAATCTTCCTCACAAACAAAAATATATATTTTAACAACACATAAAAATATGGAACTTGCCAACTCTAAAATGTCTCTTAGTACGTGGAGGATCATCTAAAGTTATTTACTAAGTTAGAAGCAGTAAATAATAAAATCGGTGTGTTACGCCTGTTATATTTTGTTATCAACTCTCCCTCATGGGTTTCAGGGTGATTCCCTGAGGCAGAGCAGTCCTGCTGGGCAGTAGTAAAGAACAGCCGAGTTATGAAGCTTTGATCAGGGACGTTGATCATAGTTCCATGCAATTGTGATGAAAATCTTACTGCATCAACTTTCAAAACTTAGTTTTTTAAAAAAGCAAATGGAAAGCAACATTTAAGTAGAATTTTAAACAAGGAATATTTTCATAAGTTGATTACTTGTTTTTCCAGGACTCATGATTAATAATAGTGAATTAAATAATGCCCATATTAATACCTAATTGGGTAATTCATCTCTCATATTTACAGTCTTCAGGCTCTTTATATAAATATTCATAATCATAAATTTAAAAAAGTTTCTTAGGATTGAAGATTTTGTTATGAAAAACAAAGTTTAGGCAAACTGTGTAGTATATGCAATGTTTCTCAGCCAGCCAAACACCTTGTATTTTGCATTTTCAGTGATTAAAGAAGGAACATATGACGACAATTGAGATTAATGGGGAAAAAAGGAAACAGAATATGGAAAAGATGCTTCTTTTCTTTCTTACTTTTTCAAAAAATTATTTTATTGAGGTCCTATTGGCTTACAACATTATGTAAATTTCAGGTGTACATCACTATATTTCAGTTTCTATATGGATTGCATCGTGTTCACCACCAACAGTCTGGTTTTTATCCATCACCATACATATGTGCCCCTTTACCCCTTTTACCCTCCCCACACCCCCTTCCCCTCTGGTAACCCCTAATCTGTTCCCCTTTTATCTATGTGTTTGTTTGTTTATCTTCCACATATGAGTAAAATCATAAGGTGTTTATCTTTCTCTGTCTGACTTAAAATACAGAGAATGGAAGAGCTGTTTTAAAGGAATAATTTAGAAACTAGGGTCAGATCTCCAACAGTCATATATCTGTATACTTCAAGCAGAAGTTCTCTCTGTCCCTTCTAGTGGAAACATGTTCACATATATGGGAATTCAGAATAATCTGGAGAGAGACCAACACAAATTTTTGAAGATGGGGTGAATATGGAGAACAGTTTATCTATTGCTACACATTACCCCAGAACTTAGCTGCTTAAAACAACATTTTTTTGTCTTACCGTTTCTGTGGGTCAGAAATGCAGACATGACCTAGATGGATGTCTCTCCTTCAGGGTCTCTCCAGGGGCTGCAGTCAAGGTGTCAGCTTGGGCCACGGGCAGCATCTCAAGGTTCAGTTGGGGCAGGAAGTGCTTCCAAGTTCACTCAGTGGTTGTTGGCAGGACTCAGTTCCTTACAGGCTATTGGACTGAGGGTCCCAGTTCGTCATTGGCTGTTGGCCAGAGGCCACCCTCAGTCCCCTGCCATGTGGACCTTTCCAACATGGCAATTTGCTTCATCAAAGCCTGCAAGCCAAGAAGGCGAGAGAAAGAGTGCCAGCAAGAGATAGAGACTGCTAAGAAAACAGAAGTCAGAGTCTTTTTTAACCTAATCGTGGAAGTGAAATCTCATCACTTTTGCTGTATTCTCCTCATAAGAAGTGAGTCACTAGGTCTAGCTCACACACAGAGGAGGGGCGTACACAAGAGTGTGAACACCAGGAGGTGGGCATCACTGAGGGTCTGTTTAGAAGCTGCCTTACCACAAGAGGTTTTCACCACCATCCCCAACGTATATAATAAATTCTATAGTTCCATGGCAAGCAAAAAGAAAATCTTTAAATGTTGTCTATCATAAATTGAATCATTTCCTAAAAACATCCGTAGAAAGGCTATACAACATTAAGTATCAAAGTGTCAAAATCTAATTTAAACAAAAGCAAGTACTGTTTTACAAGAATGTATGTCACCTTTTCTTTCCCAGAAAGTTGTCTCTTTTTCTTGTTTCCCTCAAATTAGCTAGAATGGCCAGAATATTGCTCCTTCCATCAAAATGAACAGTCTTATTTCATCATTTTATATAATCATCAGTATTGGGCACTTGCAAATGAGAAAACTCTGACTTTAGGAAAGGTTAGTTCCACTTAAATGTCCATTCAAGTGTTTGCCAGGTTTGAAGCCTACTATAGTTACTTAAGCAACCAACAGAAATGTATTTCTTGATGGTGCTAAAACCTACCCACACCTGGCTTGGAGTAGAAGAAATGCTATCCAGCTGTATCCTGTAAATTGCTTAATAAATAACACTTACATGTTATTTCTTTACATGCTTCCATTTACTTCCTTATTAGCCAGCTTCTCCAGATGTACCCAGTGTAGTTATATACAAGACATGATGTTCTGCACCAAAGGAAAATAAAAGAATATTCTACGAAGGTATTGTATAAATGGGAAGGAGCATAGATTTGGGTTTTAATTTTTCTGAAAACAATCTTTGGCTAAAAGACTGACAAAAAATATCATCTAGTAAAATAAACAAGCACTACAAATGTGACAATGACTGTTCAGCAGAACCCTGGCACACATGCCAGCGCGTGTCAGGGCCATTTCTTCTGCTGGCCCCAATGAGCTCCCTCTCTGCAGTCATAGATGAAGAATGGCAAAGAACCCAGTGCAGCCCTAGAGAGACGTGCGTGGAGGTTGCCAGCGAGCTGGGGAGGAGCACCAACACGTTCTTCAAGCCTCCCTGTGTGAACGTGTTCCGGTGTGGCGGCTGCTGCAATGAAGAGAGCCTCATCTGTATGAACACGAGCACCTCGTACATATCCAAACAGGTATGAGGACGTCAGCAAGTGTGCCTTCTCCAAAGCCCTGATGGTGATAGTATGGATAGCTACAACTAAGTTTATTGCCAAGCACTGGGCTAAATCCTTTATGTGCCTTATCTCCTTTAATCCCTGAAACAAGCTACAAGGGTATCTTATTATCTTCCTTTATAGGTGGGGAAACAGGCTCAGAGAGGTAACTTATGGCAGAGCTGAGATTCAAATCCAGATCTATGGGACTCCAGAGCCTGAACTCTTATCAGTTACTGTCTCTCTGATGCTATAATGTCAAGAAGCAGGAAATCTTCTGGAAGTTACTAGGACAGACATTAAAAGGAATGAAGACAGTTGCAGTGTCTTGTGTATTTGCTAGGTTCCATGTTGTTCAAATGGAGTGATTGAGAAGAGTTTAATGAAGGGTGTGGGCAGGATTAGGGGAAGGCAGAAGGGCTTGGGAAGCACTCAGGGCTGGCACAAAGAGGGAGCTGTTCCCACCCTTAGACTGAAGAGGCAAGGGGAGGGAGGAGTTATGGGAACCCAGAGAGAAAGTGGAGAAGAGAGCTGCTGGACTGGCTAGCTAAGTGGAAGTGGCAGCTACTGCCAACCCTTAGCCTGCAAGGAATCGGGGTTGCGGGGGGAGGCAAGAGGACCTATAGATGCGGTCCGTGGAGGTCAGCATCCTGGGACACAGAGCCCAGTGGGGAAAGAAGGAGAGAAAATGGTGTCTCTCTCTAGAGGGGCAAATGGCAAACATTCAGTATAAATGATCTTTGAAAATCTACAATCTCCATGAAAGAAATCATTCTTTCTTCTCCATCTTATAAAATCCCTTTTGCTCAGTAGATGTCTTTCTTTCTATTGCTACCATATTGTTGTAAAATGTAATAAACGTTGCATAGGAGAGCAATAATAACAAACCTAGGAAAATATATTAAAAAGAAAAAGCTGTAAGTCAAACTACATTCCTTTTGGTTCTATGTTGCAAATTTCCTCATGCGTGTTGATATATTCATTTAATTGTCACATTTGCCTATACAATCTATTCTCCTCACGTTTGTGAAAAGAGGTAGTACAATAAAACACATAGGTACCGAGTAGATCCATGTTAGGTAATTATCTTAATTAGATGGAAAGAATGGAATACTGACTTGTTTGATAATAGGCTAACTTATTAATTTTGTTTCCCCAACCCCCTAAAATACCCCTTAAACTGGAGAGTTTCTGTTCCTAAATCCTTTTAGAGAGTCTTGGAACTTGTGAAAATTCTGACCTCTACTATTTGACAATCAGTAAAAAAAAATGATATAAGTATGGCTAAGCATCAACTGTTAGTAGAAACAAAGCTTGCATAATGTGACCATAGTATTCCCTAGAGCATAGTTGAAAAATTTCGCAAGAAGATGAAGTTTATGCAAAGTAAACACTCTAAAAACTCTCTTAGTCAGACTCATGGAAGTTCCATTACATATCAAAAGGTCAGAATAAACACAACTTTAATGGATTGTTTCCACTTAATAGATAGTTGAGTACTTTATTTTGACTGCTGCACTCAACAAATGATTAGTTTTAAAGAATGTACTTAAGTGTAAGTGTACAGCAGTTTTTCTTTCTAAATATGCATATTTGAACATTTTAATAGTGCTTTTGAAAAAACTACTTCTCATCCCAAAGTTATGGACTATTTGAAATACCTCTTAGAAACAAAGTGAATAAATGAATACTCTGTGTAGGAAGGTCTACATGGAATGGTGATTAAATGGACAGCGCATTAAAATCAAGTTCAAATTCATCCATACATCATAGAACCACTCTAGATGCAAAGTAATTGACATTTCTCTAAATTCTACTTGCTAAGATCCTACCTTACTTCTTCTAGTCACAGCAATTTCATTCCAAAAAATAATCAAGTGTATTCTTAAGAGTATCTTAAGAGTACCTCTGGCTCTAGAATAGACTCCCTGGGTTCAAATCCCCACTCATTCAATCAATAGTTATGTGGCCTTAGGCAAGTTATATAACCTCTCTGTACATCTGTTTCTTCACCTGTAGCGTGGGGAGTAATTTAAAAAAACCCACCCCATAATGTTGTTATAAGGGGTAAATGAATTAATATAAAAGTGCTTCCAATAGGGCCTGGCATATAGAAACAGAAAGAATGATATTTGTGTTACCTATAATTACTTGCTTGGGCATAACAATCTTGTGTCAGTCAGTTATTGCCATGTAATGCTGCATAATAAACACCCCAAAACTCAGTGGCTTCAAACAACAATGAATTATTCTCACTCGTGTATCTGAGATGCAGTTAGTTTAGAGTGGGCTCAGCTGGGCTTGACTCCAAGCTGCAAACTGAGTCCAGGTCTGTTCCCTGTGTCTCTCATCCCTTGGACCAGCAAGCCTGCCAGATCATGCTCTTCTCATGGCTACAGCATATGCATGAGAAAACAAGCCCTACAAAGCACACACAGTTCAAGTTTGTACTTGTGTCAAGTCTGCTAACATCCTGTTGGCCAAAGCAAGTCACATGGCCAAGTCCAAAGTCAAGGAACAGGAAATTATATTCCTTCAATGGAGACTGTATGGGAAAGGATAAGTAAATAGTTTTGAAGAATAATCTATTCACCATTGTCTCAAAGAAACTTCATAGCTATCATTTCATTTAATCCTTACAATTTACACTCACATTTAAAGCAGGAGCAAGGACAACAGTGCCTTTTATAAAGGTACCAGTGACACTGAAAAGTTAAGAGCTTTGACCAAACGTAAATACTTAGTAAAGTTGGATAAGGCCCTGATCTCCTGACTCCCAGTCCAGCATTCTTTCCATCATGCCACTCTTAGCCTTATTAGTTCTATACTTAATGGACAACTTTGCCAAAGTCACTACCAGAAAGGACAATGGTAAAAATGTAGACTGTAGAAATTATTATTATTTTTAAAAATATATGTGTTATGGTTATCTTTCTCTACTCTAGCTCTTTGAGATATCAGTGCCTTTGACATCAGTACCTGAATTAGTGCCTGTTAAAGTTGCCAACCATACAGGTTGCAAGTGCTTGCCAACGGCTCCCCGCCATCCATACTCCATTATCAGAAGATCCATCCAGATCCCAGAAGAAGATCAGTAAGCATTTCTCTTGATTATACTTGTTTTTGCCTTTGCTAAAGTTATGTGTGGAGAATACTTCATTAATTATAGAGTCATCACTTTCTCTTCAAGTTCTTCATCTTTTAGTTTCTAATCCAGATCTACTAGTAATAACTGTTTGGCAAATATATTTTTTTATTAGGTGTTAGATGTATATTGCAGTAGGACCAAAATCTCAGCGGTTATGAACTCAGCATGTCCATTTGTAGACACCTTTGTTCTTTTTTTTTTTCTGCTTTATCTCCCCAAACCGCCCCCCCCCCCGCCCCCGTACACAGCTGTATATCTTAGTTGCAGGTCCTTCTAGTTGTGGGATGTGGGACGCTGCCTCAACGTGGCCTGACGAGCAGTGCCATGTCCGCGCCCAGGATCCGAACCCTGGGCCGCCGCAGCGGAGCGCGCGAACTTAACCACTTGGTCACGGAGCCAGCCCTGACACCTTTGTTCTTAATATGCATAGGCTAATGCAATTATAAATCTCTACTCCAGCCTCAAATTTGGCAGATGTTCTCTCATTCCAGAACAAGCATTAAATAAAACTCATTTCAGGCTGTTTACACATTTAAGTCCCAAAATTAGGGGGAGAAAACCTCCTGGCATCAGTGGAGTGGCAAAACTGTCTGCATCTGAGTTTGGAGATTTTCTAACCCTTCCTCTTAAGATTAACACATGGAAAATTCTTGTTTTAAATTAAGAAGACTTCAAATTAATTTGACTTTGAAATTTTTGAGAGCATTTTGTGATTCTTTATGAGACAAATTATGAACTCCTGCAGTGTTATGAAATCAAAGGTAAGAATCATTGATTTGGGGAAAAAAGAATTTAATATAGAGAAACAAATAAAAGACAAATTACAAATACTGAATGAAAACATAGAGTAACTAAGTTGGATACTTAGATCGCACAGAAGTAAAGCAGTAAACACAATGCGTGAGCGGCATGTGAAGGAGTGACCTGGTGGTTATATGTCAGTTAACACTGAGACAAGAAGATACCTCGAGCCCCCTCAAGCAGAAAAGAAAGCTCACATAGAAGAACCTTTTATCCTCAAGATGTCCCTGCTGTCCTACCAATGTTCTTATCTCCATCTTAAAGAAGATCATGCTTACGAGCTATGTTAGAACAATATTTACTTTTGGTAAATAAGCTCTGTAGACAGCTAATTTGCGTAGTTTTAACACCAATCTTCTTAAAAAGATTATAACTTTCCAAGATTACAGTTTAGTTTCCAAAGGTTTCCAAATAGAATATTTGTAATTACAGAATTACTGTCTAATAACATGCAGTTCATAAATATGAATTAAGCTCCTTAAAAATCTTAACTATTCTCCACTCAGAAATTTATTCAACATTTTAAAAAAGTGTTCCAAAGGTATGATTGCCCTTGAAAGCTTTTAAATGTGCTTTATTGTGTTCTTTTCCTAGTTGTTCCCATTCCAAGAAACTCTGTCCTATTGACATGCTGTGGGATAGCAACAAGTGTAAATGTGTCTTACGGGAGGAGAATCCACTCCCTGGGATGGAAGGTAATCATGGCAGTAATGAAATAATAATAGTAATAATAAAAATAGCAACAATAGCAACTAATGTTTATTGACCAGGCAATAGTGTAAGCCTTTTATATATATTAACTCATTTAATCCTCATAATAATCCTATAATGTACTGTTATTATCCCCCTTTTTTACAATTACAAAATGGACACACCAAGATGTCTAGTAATTTTCTCCAGGTCACACGCTAAGGATGATAGAAGCAGTCAGATTCCAGAGCCCTCTGTGCTATAATTATATAGTAAGCCCACCAATGTATCACTCTGCTTTTTAATCTTAAAGAAAAACCCAAAGTGATTAGAGCATCCTAAAACATTGAATTTGAAAGGGGATGGTAACCTTTAATGAAGGCCACTTCAGAACTAAACACTTAGCCAACCATATTTTACTAATTTATTTCTATAAAAGTCTCACAGGAACATAAAGTAATTTTGGACTTGGTTTCTTTCAACTGTGTCATATGAAAACATGCCAATAATTTGAAAAAAAAGTGGAATAAGAGAAAACTTTTCCTGAAACTGGGGCAAAGTAAAAGCAGACATAGCTATTGGACTAATGAGAGTTGGGAACCAAATGAGATAGGCTATCGTCACTGCTCATAACTCATAGTGCCATGAGTTTGGGTGATGAACATTTGGCTGAAAAAGAATGCATTTTTTATTTATTTCCCAGAGAACTTGACATGATTCCACTGAAAAAATCACAAGGAATGGTGCAATATGAACCTTGCTCATTGTAAACTATGATCTAAAAGCAAGACTCGTAAGGAAAACTCTAAGGAATCTGTCCTAGAAACCAGAAATAATATCCTACTTCCTATACTTCTGTTTCTCAGCTTCCTTCTAAATGTTTTCATGAAAGCTCAACCCAGGGTTTGAGGGAAACTTAAAGTTCATATAGTTTCTATGCCCATGCAGATCTTGAGTGTCACCTACTCCCTTCCCACCAAGTCTTCAGCCATCCTCTGCTAGAATAAATATCAGTCACAGGGAAACTCGCCACCCACTGAGGCAGCTCAGTTGCTCTGGACACACTCTTGTTTCTAGTAAACTACACTGAACCCGAATCTCTCTCTCAAACAGCACTGTCTGATAGAATTACAATGAGAGTCACATATGTAACCTACATTTTATAGTACTTACATTGTTAAAAAGGTGAAGTGAAACAGGAGAAATTAATTTTAATATATTTTATTTAATCCCATATATCAAAAATAGTATCATTTTAGTATACAATCAATATAAAATCTTTGATGAGATATCTTTCTTTTTTGTGCTAAGTCTTTGATATCCAGTGTGTATTTTATACGTAGAGCACAGCTCAATTTGGACTTGCCAGTTCATGCTCTATGGGGCCCATACCTACCGTGTGGGACAGGCCAGCTCTAGAGCATCAACTCAGTTTAGGTTTTACCCCATAGAACCCTATAAAACCAATCTAATTCTTTCTCCATATGACTCATTTTTTAATAGTGTTAGAAAGTTACTGTGGGAAGCAATATACATAGGGCTTAAAGGCTGTTCTAATTGGGGTTTCCCTGGTACACAGCTTCTAAGAGAGAGATTTGTATTCAGGAGTTTGCGTGCAGGTACAAGGCATTAAAAGGTGAGAGAGAGGCAGGACTGCACAGAGAGGAAAGTTGAACTGTGTTGCAGTTGCTAAGAGGTGTCAACCAATCCCATGGGGAACTTAAGCTAGGACAGCCCTTGGGGAGGATGTCCCAAATCAAGGCAAAGGAGTTGGGTCCTAGGGACTGGTTGTTGGATACGGGCTGTCTCGTGGAGGGACATAACCTTGTGTGAGGCAGCTTCTTTCTGCTGAAGGTAATTCCTGGAGAAGGACTTAGCCTGTGCACACATGTGTTGAGGGTAGGAAGAGTAGTCAGGAAGGAGAGAGGTGCTCTGAGCAGGGGAAAAATGAGTGCTCAGGGTTAGAGAGAGAACATAGTACATCCAGGGTGCTGGAAGAAGTTCTGCCAGGTGGGAACATAATGGGAGGGGGCTGGGTAGATGTGAGAGAGGAAGCTGGAGAGGTTCACAGGGGCTACGTGGAAGGACCTTGTGAACCTTGTCCCAGAGCTTGGATGTGATGCTAAGGGCAAAAGGAAACCACTCAAATGGTTCAAGCAGTGATAGCACCAATTAGAATTTTAACAAAATCTACCCGGTGACAGTGTAGAAGAGGATGGGTTGGCCTGGGACAGGAAAGAAGGCAGAGGACCTTTTGGGAAGTTGTAGCAATCGTGAAAGTGAGAGGCACAGGGTAGCCTGGATCAAAATCACTTCCAATTTTCATCTCCCATAATTCAATTGATGTGGGCCAAATTCAGTCACTTCTCTAGTGGCTCCAACAAACTGATGACATATACTGAGGTTACTGTTCACTAAGCACCTTTTTCACACATGTGGCTGTTAAGCCAACTGCCTTTCTACAATAGCTTCTCTTCCCTGAATGAGCAAATTTGGGTTAATGAATCCAAGTCAAATTTAATTTTATCTTGTTAGATTCAGGGCATTGCTCTAAACTGTTAAAAAGAAAACCACAATACCAAAAAAAATTAGTGAGTCATGATTCTATCTTTTAAATTCTTCAAGATACCCACAACTTCAAGAATTTACTTGGAAGAATTCCATCAGTTTATTGATAAAAATGATAAATGGAACAAGGCTGAGAACAGAACACATTGGTATCCCATCATCAATCTCCATAGTATTGAAATCAATATATAATACTCCAGGGTACCACCCTTAGCTAGTTGCTGCTCCACTCAGTTCTCCTACATCCAGACTCTGTCACTACTAACTTGCCTATAAGGATTGAGGCCAACCTCTGCCAGCTACCTTGCTGACGTTCAGCAAACACCCAGTTGCCTGTTTCCCTAAACCACCTGTCCAAGAATGGAGTTGGTCCTACTTGATGTTCTGAATGAATCTCTACTGCCACCTAGTGATTTATGCAAATCTTCTAAGAGCTTCTTAACTATCCTTTAACAATCCATTCTCATCTTCCCCCAAAGTGACATCTGCCTCGCTGGCATACGGATTACAGGGCTCACTTTTTTCCTCTTCACACAGTCTAGAATGGAGTCTCTCCAGATCTAGCCTTCTAAGACTCATTCCACATGATCCCTCAAAGATCATTAACCACAGAGCTGTTAAAACTATGAGATTGGACGAGGTGAGATTACCATTTTGATACATTATTAATGGTCAGATACTGGCAAGAACATATGGTCTAATCCAATGCCTTGGAATGCTGGATGGGATTCTTCAGAGTCTCCATACATTGGCCTGCTTCAAGACCCTTTTATTATGCCAAATAAACTCAACAAACATTTACCAAGTGCTTAGTTTATGCCAGAACAATGAGACATGATCCCTATAACCTTCAGGACTTTTTAATTAATGGAGGAAATATAGACATAAACAGACAAATGTAAGCAGTGCAAGAAAGGACAGTATGGAAATATGCACAGGGCAAGCGTACTTGGCTAAACTTGCAGAAGCTGGGAAAGATATCAGGGGGAAGGATAACTAGCAGAGAGAAGTACAAGGCCAAAGGCATGGGGCTGAAAGATTCTGGCACATCAGGGGAACAAAAAGTACTCTAATTTGGTATGGAAAGAAGATAGGATATATGAGAGAGAGACAGATAGAAGATGAGTCTGGGAGGTGAGTGGGGTCCAATTCATAGAGTGTCTCAAACGTCCTGGTGGGAAAATTGGCCTTTATTGTGAAAGAGAGGGGGATCTTTTAAAGTACTTAAAGCAGTAGAGTGATGCGATTAGATTTCCATTTGATAATATTGTGGAGAATGATTGAAGGAGTAAAACTGTAGTGGCAAGATGAGTGATAGCTATCTATACAAAAAATACAAGGTACTGACTGAATTGAGACGGTGGCAGTGAGGATGAAAAATAACAAATTCAGGGAGGCAGAACTGGGTGGACATGGTGATTAGATTCAATATGGCAGGAAGTCAAGAGTGATGGCACCATTCCCTAAATGAGGCAAACTGGGAGAGAAGCAAGTTTGGGGAAGAAACTAAACATGTACTTTCCTCCAAAACCTTCAGGAATGCTAAGTGACATAGTCAAGTTCTTCTAAAGTTTCTATCTGTTCCATTTTTTTGCAATGAATTTCGACTTGATGATCAGAATTGGACTTGTAGTAGTAGTTATCCAATTGTTTTGTACACTTTCTAGAAGAAGTATCTGTTGGCTAAGTGTGTCAAAACTTCTCAGACTCTCCTTTCTCAGCTGAACATATGTTCCAACAGATATCTGTGGAATCTAAGTTCATTATGACTGTTGTATCTTTTATATCAATGTTGTGATCTGCGAGTGGAGGAAATACATCACTGTTTCTACCCAGAATCTGGAAGATCTGAGATGTATTTCTGTGCCAATACTTCTGTTCCTCTTTCTTTTTAATCTTCACCTAAAAAACTGGGAAGGACTAGATTCATAATCCTTAGACATCGTAGATTTTATTACTGATATTTGGTTGTGAAAGTCTGCATTTTTAACAAGTCACCAAGCTAAAAATTTCTTTAAAAATCTTATCAAAAATATTCAGCTCATAACATTTTGGGGCTGGCCCAGTGGTGGAGTGATTAAGTTCGCACGTTCTGTTTCAGTGGCCTGGTGTTCGCCGGTTTGGACACTGGGTATGGACCCACACACCTCTTGTCAAGCCATGCTGTGGCAGGAGTCCCACAAATAAAATAGAGGAAGATGGGCACGGAAGTTAGCTCGGGGCCAGTCTTCCTCAGCAAAAAGAGGAGGATTGGCAGCAGATGTTAGCTCAGGACTAATCTTCCTCAAAATAAATAAATAAATAAATAATAAAAAATATTTAGCTCATAACATTTTTATCACAAACTTAGGAGAACACATGAATTCTGTATTTGTGTCGTGAAATCAGAGGTGAATCGCCTTCACCTTGTGAAAAGTTTAGGGACAAAAATCTACAGGAAAGGAGATTAGGTGACTCTAAGTTATTTTAGAATGATGTAAAGTATTCAACCAGCTTTGGTGATCATGTTATCTGTGCTACAGCTATTCAACCAACACTCTTCTGTTTCTCTTTAGACCATTCTCATCTCCAGGAACTGGCTCTCTGTGGGCCACATATGATGTTTGATGAAGATCGTTGCGAATGTGTCTGTAAAACTCCCTGTCCCAGAGATCTCATCCAGCACCCAGAAAACTGCAGTTGCATTGAATGCAGAGAGAGTCTGGAGAGCTGCTGCCAGAAGCACAAGATATTTCACCCAGACACCTGCAGGTGAATGGCTTTTTCATTCTTGCCTTAACCTGACTCATTGACATTTAATGTAAATACAGTTTTGATTTAGTGAGATTCTTTATTAAGCCAATTTTTTTTTCAGTGCTTGAGCCCCTTTTTATTAGTAAAACAGAGGTTTGGCAACTAATGAATAAGTGAGAGTATATAGAGTGATGATTAACTGTGGAATCAAGAAAGTCCTGTCTGCTGTTGTTGGCTTATGGATCTTAAGCAAAAACTAAATTGATGAGATTTAAAAGATTATTTTGGGAGAGTTTCAGATCAGCAGACTCTTTGGTTCAATCTCTCTCTCAATATATGTCCATATATGTTTGTTTGTTTTTTCTTTGAGGAAGGGGTTGTCACTGGATTTACAAAGCAGGAAATGTCTTGATGAATAGAACACTTACAGGTTACCGATTGGGCTTTCATAGATTTTGAATCCACATGGGATAACCATTCAGGATTTGATACTGACATTTTAAATATGTATCTGGAAATTTTACTTTGAAAACTTAAATCAGAACAGAGTTATTCCTTTGAATTTAGTCCTTGATCCTGAATTTTCATGTTTATTTTCTTTTGCAACAGCTGTGAGGATAGATGCCCCTTTCACAGCAGAACATGTGCAAATGGAAAACCAGCATGTGCAAAGCATTGCCGCTTTCCAAAGGAGAAAAGGGCTGCCCATGGGCTCCAGGGTCGAGAAAATCCTTGATTCAACTTTGTTCTCGAGTTCCCCATCTTGTCATTTTAAACAGCATTCTGCTTTGCCAAGTTGCTGTCACTGTTTTTTTCCAGATGTTAGAAAAAAATCTGTTTTACATAGTACCATGGTGAATCCAGACCAACCTTCCATTAAACACTAGCTGAGGATTCCCTGGTTCACTGACAGATGTCTTCTAACTGAAGATGCCTCCGCACAACAAAGAATGGAGAGGAGGAAACCTCTATAACCCTTTTTTTTTTTGGTGAAGGAAAAAGGTTTGATCATCATGGAATGACAGGTGCCCTGTGACTGATTACTCAGAGCAGACGAGGCAATTCGCATAGTCTCCGAGTCCTTTGCTAATTGCAATTGTCTTGTGAATTATTCTGATTCTCTTATGCAGATTTTGATTTGTATGATCAGCACTGATTTTCTGATTACCGTCCAGCTTTTAGTTTTGAGTTTACAGAACTACTGTCTGTTGTTTCATATTTAAGCGTATTTAAAGAAAATAAACACCATTATTCAAGCCATAGAATATTGTGTGTTGTTTAATATGCTACCACTCTAAGTTTTATGCCAAAGAAAAAAATGTTTTAAAGAGAGAAAGGAATTTAGAAGTGGGAGGTGTGGGGAGAGACCACACGCTAGCTCAGCTGTTAGTCTTATTCGCATCTCAATTATCATGGCCATATGATTCTTCTCTCGGTTCCACAGCTACCCAGAAAGGGCACAACAAAACTTGATGTCAGTTTTGGGAAACTGAGGGAGTGGCTCTCAGAAAGTTTAAGATTCTAAAGGAGGTGAAGCAAATGTGACGCAAGAATCAGCTGGAAATCAGTGTTTCCTTTGAGATTCAATTATTAACTTGACTTGACCCCCATCCCATGATGGAGGAGAGCCCACTGATGCCCCTGACATCTTCGACGGCTTGTGTTTCTTCAGGCCACCTCCAGCTCCAAGTTTCTGCACTAGCTCAGCTGTTAGCCTTATTCACATCTCAATTCTCATGGCCACATGATTCTTCTCTGTTTCACAGCTACCCAGGAAGAGAGCACAGGCCTTTCTCCCTTGCTTTTCCCCCAAAATACTCCCACAAATAATTTCTTGATGGCATAGACTTTACTGAAAGTTTGGTATAACAGAGGGAATTTAGCAGCATTAGGGGATTTAAGTTATTTAGCAAATAACTAAAAATTTGATGCCATCCCCAGCATCTTGCATAGATAGATAGATAGACAGACATTGTCTATTACAGCATTTATCACACACTTTTATAAATAGTTGCATTCATGTTTATCTCCCCACCATACTGCGACCTCCCTTATGATTGGAGACTGCATCCTGATCAAATATGTGTAACCCAAGTTTCTCAGGCCAAACCATGTGGAGCCGTACAATAACAAAGAGAAAGATATTGACAAATAAATATAGCAAAAATAGTTTTGTTTCTCGTGATGTCGCATGTTAGAATTTTTGGATCCTGGCCCAAATCCCTGCCCTTCCTCCTCGTTCTCTGAAATTTTCTCCTCTCTGAAAATTCTCTGAATTTTCTCCTCGTTCTCTGAAATTCTCTGTGACCTGTGGCTCCAGGCCCTCTGCTCCTTTCCTGGCTTTAGCTCTCAGTCCCTGCCCTGGGGACAGGGCTGATCTTGACCTGGCTTGCAATCGGTCCCCACTGTGCTGCCATTATCATTGCCTTGTCATTTACTGGCATTGGCCCAGTCACTCCTCTCTTGTCACTCTTCCTCTCGCCCTCACTTTATGACCTTGATGCCAATGAGCCTTCTTCCTTCTAGTTTTACTATTTGATTCTTAGCCTTCTAAAGGGCTCACACATAATGTATTAGCATTCAACTCCTTGCTTTGTCCCTTCATTCAGTTTCTACCATTCTCTCCTCCTCCATAGTATTTGGTTAAGTTCCTTTGAGAGCTGGGGCAGCAGACAGCCCAAGGGACACTGCACAGTTAAAGGAGTTACTTTGCTCATCTTTGGTAAAAAGAGAGGCTGAATCTCTGACAAGCAGAAAAAACCTGAATTTAAGGACAGGCTCTGCCACCTAATCACAATATGAGGCTGAGCAAGCTCATGAAGCCTCAGCTTCCTCACCTGTCAAATGCGGACGATAATCTCATCTCCCTGCATCTCAGGGTTGCTAATTTCACCTGAGTTATCATAAGTGAGAACAATTTGAAAAATACAATGTACTTTACGAATTAAAGGAATTACCCAAGGAGAGAATCATTACTGTGAGCTAAGTTCTTGGCTTATGCTGGATTCCTGGATCTACCCCAAACCAACTCAAATCGTGTTTTGATTAGTGGCTCTGGCTTCCTAACTGCCATTTAGATAGAGACATTATAGGGAATTCTGGGCTAGGACAAAACTATTTGTGATCTGGCTTTGCACTTCTAAAACCCCTCCCCCTGCTTCTTCCCCAATTCCCAACAAACGCCAAGAGATGTGCACTTGGATCCCTGAGCCTGGTCTGAGCTGGGATGGGGCTGGTCTTCAGGGTGGAGGTGGGGTAACTGACCTATAACCTTATTAGAATTCGCTGGCCATTGTACAGGAATATTTCTCATACTAATAGCTTTGGAATCTGGGCTGAAAATTCTTAACTTGTTGCAAAATAAAAATATATGAGAAGATTCAAGAGCTTAAAGCAAACACAAAAAATGCCAGCGATGCATGATGTCCCTGATTATCTAAGCCACAAGGCCAGAGAATGTATTAATATGACAGCACAGATCTGTGACTAAAGCAGTGAGGTGAGAGGTCCTTTAGAGATGGAAACAGATTGGACTGCATAATGGTCAGAGTTGGATGAGATTAAAATACTGTCTGAGATACTTGATCAAGGAGATGACACAAATAATCCATTTTAAGGCTTTTAAGGAAAACAGTTCAGTGAAAATTGTGAGCTTAATGGATTTGGTCATTTGGTCAACAAGAGCTGGACTTTGTCTAATTTACTCATAATCCTCAGTGTGAGAACAATGTCTTGCATATAGTAGGTGCCTAATAAATAATTATTTAATAAATAATAAAGTATTGCATTGATTTTGTGACCAGTGAATGGAAACTCACCTGCTGCTGGAATGTCCAAGATGAACTCTCATTCACCAGGGCCTCACTCCAGGTGGCTTTTCATCATTGGATATCTTGCCTGAGCTTCTTCACAGCATATCCATTGGCTTTCAAAAGGAAAGGTTTCAATAGGACATGCCCCAGTGCATAAACATTAAGTTTCTGCTGCATCTCATTTACTGATGTCCCATTGGCCAAGCAAGTCACATGGCTAAGCCCAGAGTCAATGTGGGAGGGGATTAGACAAGAGTGCAAATATTGGAAAGTGGTTCATTGAACGCCACCAATGTAATGGTCTCCTACAAGGCTGGTTCCTGTCTCCAGCCACATGTGGAGCCCTGTTAGTCTCTATTATTCTACAAGAGCTGAACACTGGTTCATGTCTTCCTGCTTCCACATAGAGTCCACGACCTATGTGGCTTTGGTCTGATTACCATTTTGAGTTTTGGTTCTGTTTCTGATACATGGAAATGTTTATGTTCTTTTTTGCTTTAAATCACAGCTATAACATTTCAATTTTCTCATTTATATTATATCTCATTTTTCTATTTGAAGCAGAATGAGGAGTGAGGAGTCTCAAAATATTAACTGAAAATGTCATCTTGGATGGAAGTCTGGTTCAACATCAAGTCCATTTTTCTTAGTAAGATCCTCCACCAGTCTGCTCCAACCTTTACTGGAAATGCCACCCTTTTCTTGTCTGAATCCTTCCTCTTCTCTTCCCCTGTGTAATTGCACAACAGTGTGCCCTGGACAGTCAGCACCTGTCTCCGTACCTTGTTCAGGTTGTTCTTGGAATGATCTTGCTCCCAATAGTTGAATGGGCACTCTTTCCTTCTACTAGCTAAATGCTGGCAGCCAGAAATACTCTTTCCCACTGAACTCACAGTATTTTTCTTGTATTTCTTTTATGGCCATTATCACTTTCTATCTTTTATCATAGGTATTTACATATGCTTTAAGTCTGTCTTGGTTCCTTGGGAGTAAAGCTCATACCAGATTTTCCCTGCCTTGTGCTTGTACATAGATAGCAGGTTCTCAATACAACTGTGTTGCCTTTCTACTCCAAGATTATTCATGGGAGCTAATTTACATATGAATTTGCAAAGAGTTGAATTTCAAGGGAAGGTGATATCCACGTTTATTTTACACGTTCTCCATTTATAGGACATTCTACACTACAACTGGTACTGATTGCCCTCATATTTTATTAACTGTGATCAGAATACAGTGCATGTAAGTATTTTAGTCTAATTCTAGTGGTTTCTAAGAAAATTCTCTAATGGCATACCTTGATTCCATACATTTAGGCAGAACACTATGATTAGAATTATCCCCAGATTTATAGCTTAATCCTGCTGCTACAACTTTCTTTTGACTTTTAGAAAATAGCCTTACCTAGAGACCTTTGCTTAAGGTTTAATTGATTATAAATGGAGTCTTGTATCCATGTGAAATTAAGAGCCATGTGCAGAATCTTGATTTATTTGTCTTTTAATACTCAGTGCCTAGGTCTAAGACTGGAGCATGTTCAATGTTTTCAGACTTTGTTGGAACCTATAGACTTTGTTAGAACAACCTGCAGTTTTCTCAACCCCCTCCCCCACAGAGACTCAGCAACAGTGTGCCTTTATTAATATCTATTTATAAAGGTCAGCCTATTCTACAGTATTTAAAACACAAAGAACCTTTCAAGAAGAGGGGATTGTTTTTTACTATTGGTATATATAAAGCTATTTATAAAAGTTAGGAAAAATAAAAAGCTTTTAAAACATAGGGACTATGTTTAATATTCCTTGAATTCCCCACAAAGCCTTTTACAGAGTAGTCACTCAGTAAATGCTTGATGACAATGATAGAAAATATTTGTTCTGTTTTGAAAAAAAGATCACAACTCCTTTGAAGGAGTATTGGCATCAGGATCTTAGAAGATTCATGGTAGAATTTCAAATGTGTATTGTGATCAGAACTATGGCAGTGGCAAACCAAGGGCTCAATAAATCAGGCATAAATCTCATTTATACTTTCCAGGATTTCTACCCACACTCTTCATCTTAAAACCTATTGCAAAAATGAAAAGGAGACAAAAGCTATGCAGTACCATCTGGTAGTGTTCGTGTTATCTGTGGAACCAACTGCAAATTATTAATCTTGAATAAGTATCCTTGAGTCTTCATCACATTTATCCTCTGATGTTCAATACCAACACAGGGCGGAGAACCTATTCTATCTTGAGCCTTACTCAAAGTTAACTCATTATATACTTCAAATCCTACGACCCAAAATGCCCTTTGAATTATACCATTGCGCTGTAGTTTTTATAAGGTACATTCCATGAAATATTTTCAATACATTTTATTGGGTATGTAATATGTGTCATGGATTTGCTGGAATTGAATAAAGAAATTCATTAATACAACTAAAACTTATTCAATGTCTATTACCAGGACAGACCCTGCCTTAGTTTACTATCTGGCTGGGAAGGCAGACACTTAACAAGCAAATACAATTGCCGGTTTTCAGAAAGAAGTCCACGTGAGACCCCCAACAAGACACAAGTCTTCAAGGATCAGTTTGAGAATGAAGGGGAATGGCAGCCAGACAAACAACTTGCAAATCACTGATAAATGCTATACCAGTATATAGCCAAAGTACTATCAAAATACAAAAGAGGGAGGATTTAATTCTCTGTGGAGGCTTGGGGAGGGCATCAGAAAGGAGCTGAAATCTTCAGGGATGAATAGGCTTTCTACAGGCTTAAAAGGGGTGCTGGCGATGGTGCTCAGGAAGGCATTTGCTCTCGAAAGTGTATGCATGGCAGGGCTGGGGAACTCCAAGTATCAAGTGTGAGGGGTGGATGACCATCAGACCACTCCCACTGATTTATTAGCCTCTCGGCCAAGCACCACCATAGCCACATAGCCATTGAACCAGTTTGAGTGGGAGCTGATATTTCAGTCCAGACCTGAGATTTTTTTTCTCCGGAGTGTAGGGTTGCCAGATAAAATACAAAATGCCCAGTTAAATTTGAATTTAAGGTAAACGACGAATATTTTTTTAGTAACGTCTCCAATATTTGGGACATATATATATATATATATATAAATTATTTGTTTACCTGAAATTCAATTTTTTAAAAAATTTGATTTGATTTCACTTTTTATTTTGTGTATTTTTATTTGCTGCATCAGGCAATCCTACCAGAGTTTAAGAACCAGCACGGTTCTGTTGTGGCACAGATAATCACAAACAAAACGCCACTATGACCCCGGCTTTCTGTAGCCTTCCTACCCAATCAAAAGCCAGAGAGACCAGGCTTCCAGAAGAGACGCTGTAACCAGGCAACCAAGGCGCGAAACCACCTGACAGTCCTCAGGCTCCCGGTTCAGAAGTGCGGTGCATCCTGGGAGTGAGTTTTCTAAGTTCGGATTCGCCTCCAAAGGCCACCAGACTACAACTCCCAGCAGCGCTACAGGGTCGCTGCGAGGCACGCTGGGAATTCTGGCCTTACCCTGCAGAAGGGTTCTAGAGGGCTGCTTATGTAACAAGAGACCAGGGCCAATTTTGAGATTCGCGACATTAGGAATTCACATAAAAGGTTAAACCTATGATTACCGCTTCCAATACAGGGAAAACAACTCTTGGGGAACATCATGGAAACACGTGCATGCGCACACTGACGTTACCGCCCGCGCTGGAAGGGTGGGGACTGAGCGACGCTCCCTGCACGTGACACAAGCGCCTCTTTGTGATTGGCTGCCTTGGGGGCGCGGCGCTCGGGCGCGGACGCCTCGGATTGGTGTTTCTGGGCAGCGGGGTGGGACTATGGTTGCAGCCGCGGGAGGTCCGGACACTGGCGGCCATGGAACTTGCCGGTAAGTGCGCGTCTGACCTCCCTGCGCGGGCACTCTCGACCGCTTCCGGATGGGACTGGGCTGCTCCCATGGGAGCGGGGCTGGCGGTGGAGGGGGCGAAGCCTCCCACGCTTGAGGCTCGGAAGTCGAGGTCGAAGGTCTCCAGAGTCGATTGGGGCTGAGGGTTCGCTGGGGCGGCTGTGCTGGAGCCGGTTCCGCAGAACTGAGGCGGGCGGGGCGGAGGCTCTGGGACCCCGGTCTCGGGCTCCTGTTGGCTCTCGGGCTATTTTTCTCGCTTTGGGCCCGGCGAGATGCCGCCAGACTCCGGCAGGTTCGCTGTCTGAGCGGGGTCGCCCCTTCCTTGGCCCTGGCGCTCCCCAGCGACCTCTCAGTGAGTGAAGGCGGGGCAGTGTCCAGGAGGTGGATGAAAGCACCGTCTTCTTGACCCCTCGCCCCCGCCGGGTCTCCCTAAGGCTTCTCTGGAGCCTCTGCTGCTGTGACTGCCCAGGGACTCGCTGGCGATTGTCGAGAATTTTATGGCCATCTGGCGTTTGCCGCTTAAGTGGCTGTCTGGGGACCTTGGACAAATCGCTCAACTTGCCTGGCTTCTCATTTGCAAAATAAGAGAGGTGTTTAGTAGATTTCCAAGCCTCTCTTCAGCTTTAAAATCCAAGAGTCTGTGATTGTGCTGTTTGTTGAGCTTTTACTCCCTAAAGATGTTGGGCGTGATAACCTGATGGAAGTAGGTGGACTCCTCACAGAACATTGCAGGTTAATGACAAAACTTTAAATGATTTCGTTTGGTTCTTTACTCACTGTTTGGTTATCATTCGTGTTTTTAAGTTGAATGGAACTGGAAACCTGGGTGAGAAAATGTTAGTGAAGGCACTTAAAAGTCGAAACTTGGAGAATCTCAATTTTTGGTGATATTGAATCTTAATTAGTAAATTCAGGTCAACGAACACTTATTGAGTATTTCTGAGAATATATTTAAAATATAGATGAGTTTGTTGGAGAGAATCGATAGTTAAGACTTTGCATATGCAGTTAATTTGCCTTTTCTGAGTTTGCAGGTGAGATCAGAAACTCAGACCTTTAGGATGGCTTCCCATTGTAAGGCAAGTTTCTAGGGGCGAGGAAATCTCATTTGTAAAGCTGAGGAAGACTGATTAGCTTTCCAAGACTCTCTTTAGCTTTAAAAGTCTAAGAATCTGTAATAGTACTGAATATTGAGTGGGCATTTTTGCTGATAAGGAGCTAGGGGACCCCTGAGAGAAACATTTCCTACCTTAGATGTGGAAAATGGCCCCACATCCAGCCCATCTCTTCTTTAGTCTTTGTCTTCAAGCTCCAAACTGAAAGGGGGGACACTCATGGAGGAAAGGCCTACATAACTGAAGGCAAGGTTAAGAAAATGAAGGGAACAGTTTGATCATCTCCTTCCTTGAATAAGGAGGGAGAAAATGTGGATGTCTGCAGCATGTGCTACAGGTGACACTTGACAAAACTGCTCTCAAAAAGACAGTTCTAGCTCCAGGTATATTTTAGGGTAACCACAAAATTAATACTGGCAGAACTTTATGAGATGCATTGAATCTGTGGCTAAGCTCTACAGTGGGGTTGGCAGACTTTTTCTGTAAAGAGCCATATATTTAATTATTGGGATGAACTGGTTTGTTAGCATGGCAAATTATTACATACTGTGGTGTAACAAGCTTATTTTTTAAAAGTGTGTGTAGCAGTATTTTTAAAGCAAAATTAAGATCTAAGGACGTTGTGGAATCTAGTTTTGTTGTGTGGCACAGTAAATGCTAAGAAAGTAAATGTCAAATGAGTAAATTCATTACATACTTTGTTTTATTTCTAGGGGAAAAGCTAGCAAATTTACATTAACATTAGAACAGTATTTGTATCTGGACTTGGACTATGGAATGTATTTTGTCTCTGAGCTGAGATCCCGTTTTACTCTCTTTTTCAGGTACTAGACGACACATAACTGGGTTGCTCTAAGGACTAATGCCTAAACCATCTCAGCATGGCCTATAGAGGAGATGGGCCTGGCCAGCCTCTCTCAGCTGCGCTCTCCCGTGTTAGCCCTGGAAGTCATTCCACATATAGAACCCATACCCATAATATATGCATGGTGTCGGACTTTTTCTACCCAAATATGGGAGGTGTGGAAAGCCACATTTACCAGCTCTCTCAGTGCCTGATTGAAAGAGGGCACAAAGTCATAATTGTCACCCATGCTTATGGAAATCGAAAAGGCATCCGTTACCTCACTAATGGCCTCAAAGTCTATTACTTGCCTCTGAAAGTCATGTACAACCAATCTACAGCCACGACCCTCTTTCACAGTCTGCCATTGCTCAGGTACATATTTGTTCGGGAGAGAGTCACGATAATCCATTCACATAGTTCTTTTTCTGCCATGGCCCATGATGCCCTCTTCCACGCCAAGACAATGGGGCTCCAGACAGTCTTCACGGACCATTCCCTTTTTGGATTTGCTGATGTCAGCTCGGTGCTTACAAACAAGCTTCTAACTGTGTCTCTTTGTGACACAAACCACATAATTTGTGTCTCTTATACTAGTAAGGAAAACACTGTGCTAAGAGCAGCACTGAATCCTGAAATAGTGTCCGTCATTCCTAATGCGGTAGATCCTACTGACTTCACTCCAGACCCATTTAGAAGGCATGATAGTGTAATAACTATTGTTGTTGTCAGCAGACTTGTTTACAGAAAAGGTAATGAAATGATAGCTACAATTGCACTGCTCAGACTTTTCTTGTAGAAAGCTGTTGAATACTTGTATGTAATGATTGTTTGGCTTTTCATTTTGTTTCATGGTTTTATAATTACTTCTGCATTAAATAGCAAAGAAAGGTCTGACATTGTTTTATACTCCCAAAAAGAAGTTTTTGGAACAGTGGTAAATGTTGCCTCCCCAACCTTTGATGTCTTAATAGTAGTTAAAAATAAAAATAAAAACTTGATGCTGTTTAATGCATCAGGTCTTCTTAAAAGTTAAAACAGCCCTGTACATGTAGTAAGAAGTACAGTGCTGAGCCCCCCACATAGCCCTTTCTTTCTGATTGCAAAAGTAATGTCTTTTCATTCCAGATATTTTGAAAACTAAGAAAAGCCCAAAGGTGAAGACTAAAATCGGCTGTAACTGTGCTATTCAGGGATAACCCTAACGAATATTTTGATTTATGGCTTTCCTGTCTTTTTTATGCATATACTCAAAATCACTGAGCTTGTTCTCCATGTTACTGTTTTGTAGCTTGCTTGTTTCATTTAACCATAGATAAGACGTTAATAACATTGGCAGGTAAGTGATGAAGGAAGGGGGATTAGACGGCCCGGAGGCTGATCCTGGCTCTATCCCTTTGTGTAATCCGGGACAGGCTACTTAACATCTCTGAGTCTCAGTATTTTCATTTGTGTAATTTGGGCAACAGTGGAATATTGTGAGGGTTCTGTGATGATTCCTATGAGTTCCTTAGTCCAGTTTGTACTTGATAAGTGTCTGCCGTTATCAAGGAGGATTTTTGTTCTAGTGCCTCTGCAGCACGTAACAGACACCACGGTAGAATTTGTAGAGCCTCGTTTACTAAAAGTCTGAAACAGTCTGGGTATTCAAAGCATAAGTGGTCTACTGGGTGGGATTTGAAAACCTGTCCAGTAATCAAAATTGTCACCTGAAGTAGGAAATCATTTAAAAGATAATATATACGCCTCCTTAAATATATGAATTTAACTCAAAATATTATTACCATGCACTGAATTGCCAATAGTTTGTGGACCTGCAGGCTTAAGAGTACTGGTCCACTGATTTGAGCTGCATCATCTTTCTTACACAGTCACCTTCAAAAAGCATAACTTACAGTTGCTAATTTGGATTTCTTTTAAGCGGGATGAGAAACTAAAGGCGTATGAAGTAATGTGCGTCCGGATCTTTAATTTGTTTTTGATCTTATACAGTGGTTTAGGATACCCTCTAATCTGACAAGAGCTTTTTTTCTGTGACTTCCCTTTATTGAATTTTCCAAACTGTTCAGCTTAGTTTCATAGAAACTCATTTTGTCAGTTGATGTGCTGTTTAATTAAATTATCCAATACAATAACAAGTACGGCTGGCATCAAACAGATTTGTGGACAAATGCAGCAGATTCTTGGTAAGCATGGAGCTCAGTGGTGGGATTAGAAGTGTACCAGTGTAGTAGGGAGTGGCCTAAAATCCAGATGGGGGCCTTGGTCAGTATGGTTTATGTTTGGAATGGGGAGCTTTGGTTGATCCGGCAAGCCACTTAAGCGGAGATTGCTGCCTCTGAACTACGTTTTCTGGGGTGAAGGCAGTGACGTGCTTTTATTCTTTAATCAAGAAGATGTGAATGGATCAGCCTTCTGTATTCTGAATCCCTTTTGTGATATTGGTGATTGTTTGCCGTAACTTAGAAAATGCGCCTAATCTGTTTTTTAATCAAATATTTTACCTTTGTGAAATAGCTAGCTAAGAAAGAATATGATGCATGTATGGTGGAGGATCAGAGCAAAATTAACTATTTGTACAAAGGTTAAGCCTGTTACCTTTACTAACTATGGTATTTTAACCAGCTGAGCTAACCACCAACAGTGAAGGTACAGCCTTTCCTTTTCTCAGTTAAATAACTGAACAAATATTTATTGATCCCTTTCTGTATGCCAGGCACCATGCAAAAAGTAACATTCTGAGAAGGAACGGCCACATCTGTAGCCCAAAAGTCAGTAGTACTAATGGTCCATTAATTATTAACAAATTAATTTCATTGGGAGGCATTCGTTTGGACCAGTATCAAAGGCCCTTGGGAATGTATTAAGTGGGAGAGAGGATAAATCAAATTCTTATTGCCCAGGTTTCCTGGCTGGCTTCCTCCCTCTTCTCTCGAGCCGATTTTCCTCTCAGTCAGGGTTTCACAGTGCTCCTGTGCTGGGGCAGGCACACCCCGCTTCTTGCTGTGGTGGTAATAATTACATTTATGTTCTGCAGTTGATAAAGCCTGTGCATGGTACAGTACCTCACTTCACCTTCCCAACAACTGTAGGGTAGATGTTATCTGCATGTAACAGACAAAGAAACTGAGTCTCAGAGAGGGTAAGTAACTCGCCCAGGTTACACAGTAAGTAACAGATGACAAACACAAGTTCAGCTCTTCTTGAGTTAAGGTCTCCCGTTCCTTCCACCCCCAGCCCAGCCGCCATTATCCTGGGTATAGATTCAGAGAGTCTTTAAAATATTGTTAGACTGAGCTTTAAAAGCAGTTCAAGTCAGGAATTTTCCTTGTCCATTTTGTGTAATATGGCAATTGAAAGTCTTTTTGTATGTTCTGTTGTGTTAGACTCTTCTTAGAGGCCCTGGAACATTTTTTATTGTGGGGGGAAAAAGCCCTTTATTTTTAGAATATAGATCATTGATAGTATTAATCAGTTCCATTTCTTATAAGATAGTTGTCAGGATTAAATGACATAATGCATTTAAAGTACCTTGCCTGACATAGCACTCGGTAAATGTTAGCTATTGTCAGCAATTATGATTATTACTCTATATGTGTTGTTTTTTTCATTTGAAGAATGGGTTCTTAACCTTTGTATTAAAGGAGAGAGTGAGAAGGAGAGGGGAAAGAAAGGAAATGAACGGAAAGGATTATAGGCTAAATGTCAGAAGTCATTAGGCCACGTTCTGGTTTATCTAGAAATCCAAATGATAGATTTGGTAATAGACTTGAAACAATGATAGCTAAGATTTTAATGAGAAGCTTTCATAATTCAGAAAAGCCACGTGTGAACATATTTTTGCTAATCATATTTTGAAAATAATAGTTTACTTAATAAATCCTACTTTAGATTATTTAATAAAAATGACCCTATGTATATTATTTCCCCCACCATCTTTTTTATAATTGATCTGCCTATATTTAGGAAGATGGGTAGAAGTACAGTTCTTGTTTGTGTGTGTGTATGCATTTCTTTTCTTTTTTTTTTTTTAAAGATTGGCACCTGGGCTAGCTGTTGCCAATCTTTTTTTTTCTTTTTTTTTTCTGCTTTATCTCCCCAAACCCCCCCTGCACACAGTTGCACATCCTAGTTGCACGTTCTTCTAGCTGTGGGATGGGGGATGCCGCCTCAACGTGGCCTGATGAGCGGTGCCATGTCCGCGCCCAGGATCCGAACCCTGGGCCGCCGCAGCGGAGCATGTGAACTTAACCACTTGGCCACGGAGCCGGCCCCAGCATTTCTTAAATTAATAAACTTTAACTGGGTTATTTTACATTTACTTTTACTTTATATTATCTGAGGTTATATTTACATAGTATGAGAAAAGTGTTTCATTTAAAAAAAGAAAAAAGGAACCAAGATGCATCCCTTTGTCTGTGGACCATAATGATCTGGCAGTTGAGGTCCTGCTACCTTCATTTGCTCTCATTCAGGGGAAGTGGGCCACAGCAGGTTTGGATGGACTATGCTTTTAAATTTTGCTGATACCATAGTGTGTACTGCAAAATCCTCTGTACAAACTGCATTCTGAACAAAGTGGAGGCAGCACTTACACTTTGTGCTTAGCCCTTTCCTGTGGCATGAAGTCGAATCATAGACGGGTAGAATCTTAGAGCTGGAAGAGACCTTGGACTTTAGGTGCGTAGGTCTCTTCACTTTCTCCATCAGGAAACTTTCCCATGATCAAAGCACTTGCTTGTAAAAAGGCTGAGATGAGCCCTAGATCTCTGGTCAGCTCTGCTGTCCTGCTCTGTGGAAGACTTTAACTCAAATGTTAGGTATCTCAGATACCCTTTTTTAGAAGTAGGCGATACGTAAACAAGTGAATAACTTAAAGAACATTATGTTGAAATGAAACAGAATAGTCTACATATTGGATGTGTGGAAGGTAACAATGGATGTCAGTGTATATCTCTTCAAGAACTGCCACTTTGGGGGACTGCTGGCAGTTTGTGAACGAGTCCACCCTCCCAGGAAAGGTTTATGAGAATGAATTTGTTTACTTAACAAGGGCATAGCTAATACTTTTCAAAATGAGTGGATTCTCAATAGTTCTGATGAATTTTTTTGTTTAAATATTAATATCTCCAATCTTCAACTTTATTTTATATTTTCAGGGACCGATTTGCTTAGTGGTATAATACCTGAACTCTGTCGGAAATATCCAGATTTAAATTTCATAATTGGAGGAGAGGGACCAAAGAGAATCATTTTGGAGGAAGTACGAGAAAAATACCAGCTTCATGACAGGTATTGATGGATTCCATATCGTCTTGGGTGAGAAAACATCAATTACCTAACTTTGGTTTTGGCTTCATGCCTGTCTTAAGTGGGCTGCTGCTTCTACATGTACTTGATGTGAAAATGTAGAGCAAGGCCTTTTAAAAAAAATCCCTATAAAATGGGAACCCTAGGTAAAAAATTCACAATTTTATTTTTTCCGTTAGCTCAATATTGTTTGACTTTAGGGGGCAGTGATTGGAGGCACCCTAGAAAGCACCAAAAAAATAACCACTTTGACTGGAAATGTTTGCAGATTTTCAAGCCGTACTCAGTTGGGATTTAAATAGCATGGCCCAAGTCATGTAAATTCCTCTGCACATACAGATTCGAACATTTCTCTTCGTCAGGAACTTAGACTACATGCGAGGTGTGTGTGTGTGTGTGTGTGTGAAGCATCAATTTAAAAGGGGCATTTTTCTGTTTAGAAATGATAGTTTAACATTTACTCATCAAAGTATATTAATATTTTCATTAAATGCAAACTGATTTTGGAGAAGAGGAAATTTGATATGTGTGACAAAAACTAGAAATATGTTTAGCTATATGAGTTTTAACCAAATAGCTGTAAGACTGTTTCTTTTAGATTAGAATTTGGTGATATTAATCTTTTGAAGTGGAAAACATTAGAACCAATAAGAATCTTAAGTATAATATGAATAGCACATTTGGCTTATAAATTATATTTCTTTTATAGCATGATTTTCACTCCCCCCTTTCTTCTCTCATTTCTGCAATCAGAGTGCGTCTCTTGGGAGCCTTAGAACACAAGGATGTTAGAAATGTCTTAGTTCAAGGACATATTTTTCTTAACACTTCCCTTACTGAAGCATTCTGCATGGCAATTGTGGAAGCAGCCAGTTGTGGTTTACAGGTAAAAAGCTTTGAGGGCTTACATCGTTCGGGTTTCTGTACTTGTATTTTGGGAAATAATCAGACACATTCTGTAATAATTTTTTAAGTTGATTTGGCTTATTTTCCTGAGATATGAATTTTGATGGATAATGTCTTCTTTTTTTCTTTTTAAGGTTGTAAGTACCAGGGTTGGTGGAATTCCTGAAGTACTTCCAGAAAATCTTATTATTTTATGTGAACCTTCTGTAAAATCTTTGTGTGAGGGATTGGAAAAAGCTATTTCCCAAGTGAAGTCAGGAGCATTGCTGGCTCCAGAAGATATCCATGACATTGTAAAGACTTTCTACACCTGGAGGAATGTTGCGGAGAGAACTGAAAAAGTATGTCATATGCTAAGAAAAGGGCATTTGAAGATTGTGTGTGAATTCTTCCTGGATGTTTAATGTACACATTTGCTTTGTCTTATATCGGTTTACCATTTCTATTCTGTTCCTTAAGTTTATGAAGTCTCTTCCAAATGAAAAGAAATGAACTGTATCACTTTGGGTATATGCTAGGCTAAGTTTCTAGTCACATCATTGCGTTTGACATCTGAAAATAACAGTAATGCAGTCTAGACTTTTCCTTAAATTGGACATAAGGAAGTTACTGGAAATTTTCTAGAAGTCACAACAATTAGAGGCAAAACTAATATTAAAATCCACTCTTAGACATTTTCTTGAATCTGTTTATAATTCTAAAGCATATCGGTCTATTAGAAAATATATGGTTTTATGTAGCCTATCACAGCAACTTTATAACTTGTAAATATTTAATTTAGGCTACTTCCTAAAACTCTTACATCACTTGCCAACTACTGCAGTTTTCTGCAGGAAAAGGATTTTTGCATCTTTTGGCTCATTGAGAACATAAGTTAGAATTAAAATACTCATGACAAATGTTGGAAATATGATCACAAATAAAAAGCAGCAAGAGAATTTCCAAAAGGACAAGTACAGGAAATAGATTAGTACCCTTAGATGGGAGAGTACAGTTGTGGGAAGTGCTTCCTGATTTCGAGTTAGGGACTTCATTTATTCTACCTGGTTTCATCCTTTAAGTACCTCTCATTACTTCGTCTGCCTCATGCCTCTTCTCACCACATAACAAGCTGGATGGAAACACTCTGCTTCTTAGTCTATAGAAATTGTGAATCAGAAAGACAGTCCCTTGGGAACATGGGGCAGCTAGTAGTTTAGACTAGTGCTTTATATTGTCATTGTATTCAGTGGAACAGCAAGTTTCTAGCCGGAAGTAGAGAGCAAGATGGAGCTGAGTAAGCAGAATAGCTCTTTACTGTAAGGCTTTCCTCTTGGGTTTAAATTGTAAATTCCTGTATGTAAGATGAACCCATATGTGAATATAAGTGCAAAACAACCTCTTATCTCTAAAAATTGTCATATCCATTTGATACTTGAGTTAACAATCAAACAGTTTTGACTGAAATATCTCTGAGACACTCTCACGTAGAAGTTTTACAGTATCTCCACTCATAGGAAATAACTACTTTCTTTGTTTTCCTTTGGAAGTTGAAATGTAGCATTGATTACCTGCTGGGAGTGCCTGTCAGAATCGCCCACGTAGCCTTTTCAGGATCTCTTCATTTCATCTTCCTGTCCCCCTGCCTGCCCAGCCCACGTTCTTTTTTTTTTAAGATTTTATTTTTCCTTTTTCTCCCCAAAGCCCCCCAGTACATAGTTGTGTATTTTTAGTTGTGGATCCTTCTAGTTGTGCCATGTGGGATGCTGCCTCAGCATGGCTTGACAAGCGGTGCCACATCTGCGCCCAGGATCCCTTCCGGTGAAACCCTGGGCTGCCAAAGTGGAATGCGCGAACTTAACCACTCGGCCACGGGGCCGGCCCCACACTCCTCAGATTCTAACATGACCCTTTCGGAGCAGAGGTGGCATTTGGGAATGGTTGGCAGGAATATTTGGTTGGATGGGCTTTTTCAGTGATACTGACCCCACTCTCTACCCTGGTTGAGAACCACAGCTCTGTAAGTTGTGACTTCACCCTCTTGATCAACATTGTGTAAGCCTCAGAAGTCTGAGCTACTGTACATGGAAGTTCAGGGGCAGAGACCTATGGTGACCCTTTATCGGCATATGTTAAAAGAGCTAATTAGGATTTTTTTTTTTAAAGATTTTATTTTTTCCTCTTTGTCCCCAGCCCCTGGTACATAGTTGTATATTCTTCGTTGTGGGTCCTTCTACTTGTGGCATGTGGGATGCTGCCTCAGCGTGGTTTGATGAGCAGTTCCATGTCTGCGCCCAGGATTTGAACCAACGAAACACTGGGCCGCCTGCAGTGGAGCGCGCGAACTTAACCACTCGGCCACGGGGCCAGCCCCAATTTAGGATTTTTTTAAACTACAAATTTTCTTTTAGTTATGCTTAATAGTAAGCATATTTAGTACATGTGAATTTTTTTCTATTTTATACACTAAAGTGATTTATAGTATACATTCAGGAAAAAGTTAAACCTTGTCTATAATGGATTGTCATCCCTCTTATTCTCTTCTTAGTAGTAAATTATTATTTTGTCACTTCAGCTCATAAATGAATTCACCTAGAAGTAAAGGTGGCCACACAGGTCAGCTTATAGTTGCTCTTTTCATTCTACCTGTTTCACACAGGACGTTTTGATCCTTTTCAATTCCTCCTTCTTTGTTTAACTATAATATTTAGAAAATTGATCAAGAAATTAAATCAGAGTTCATGCTGGAAACATACATATTCAGTTACAAACTGCCAGTGTCGGCATAATTCTCAACATAATCCTGATTAAAATGTATTCCAAATGTCCTCAGGGTAGAAGAGCTAGATGAAACCATCCTGTACCTTTCAAAGACCATTGGCCTGTAGAACTTGCACTGCGTGTCATAACTTTGAGTTCAAAAGGAGATGGTTTACAGGTCTGATACGTGAGAATGAGCACAAGTAGTGCTCAAATGCAATTAAAAACATTAATGCTGTCCTGTTTTATGTGTTCAAAATCAGCATGTTTAAAAGATGTTTATTTTTTAATATTTCAGAGTTAAGCCACCTAGTATCATTCTCAGCAATAAACTGTTTTGTTTGCCATTGTTTGACCTGTACCATCTACTAAAATTCTCCCCATCTCTTTCCTCTCTTTTTGTTTGAAATCCATGAAATATTTCTGTATATTCTCACCATCTGTCCTCAGCAGCACGAAAGAAGAGCCTCTGTACCCAGAAGCATACTAGGTTGTAACTCTGATTGTGGTTGCTGTCTGCCAGATAGTGGTGAGAGCTTCTCAGCTGAGTCAAGGAATCTTAGAAGGCCAGTCTTGCTTCAAAGAGTCACTGCTGAATTAAATATGGCCTCGACAGGGGTGACCCAAAAAGTAGCTCCAGCTTCTCAGAACTTTGGAATTCTCATAGTTGGTTAAAATCGATGGTGATCTCCTAGCGGACAGGAGCCATGACGTATGTGTCTTTGTACTACATGGTGTCTAGCCCAGTATTTTGTCCAGAATAAGGACTCCATAAGTGTTGAATCAAATGGCAATAATTACTGTAATTAATTTATCACATCATTACTGTAACAACAACAATGAAATGTAAGTGACTTTTGTTTCTTCTGTTTACATCTGTAACATTTCTGGTCCATGCAGATTATTTATTGTGGGTCAGAGTGCTCATTCTTGGCCTCTCTCCTGCCAGGTATATGACCGTGTGGCAGAAGAAGCTGTGTTACCAATGGACAAACGACTGGACAGACTCATCTCTCACTGTGGCCCAGTAACAGGCTACATTTTCGCTTTGTTGGCTGTATTCAACTTTCTCTTTCTCATTTTCCTGAGATGGATGACTCCAGATTCTGTCATCGATGTTGCAATAGATGCCACAGGGCCAAAGAGTGCCTGGACTTATCAACACCCTTACAGTAAAAAAGGGAGAAACAGTAATGAGATGTCTAAAACCAGGTAGAAGAAAGCCTGGATTGTAAGATTTTAAACATTTGTAATAGTTCTATTAAGACTATTAAAAATAACTTTGCTTTTTTTTTCTTTTTTTAAGAGTTAATTTAGTAAGTTATGCTACCTCTATAGCATTCAATGTTTTATTTTGAGGAAAGATAAAAACTTATGCAATTCCTGAGTGTAGAAACTCCTTGCACTTATTTAAAATTTAGGAGAGAACATTTAAGCCACTCAGGTATGAAATTTTTCAGACTACTGAAATCCCTCTAGCAGAGATGTTTTAACATTATATTTTGGGAGCTTTGGGTGCTGAAGGGCCAAACGTTTTCTGGGCATTTTTTGGCCAGAAACATTTAAAATTTAAACATTTAAAATTTGGTTTTAAATGTTCTACCATTAATTAGACATTCACCAGATGTTTACAAGTTTTCTTTAGGAAAGTACAACTACTATGTAAACTATTTTAAGTCACGTTCATACAGATTTATTAGACATTTAAGTCATGTTCTTAAACATTTATTGGGTATACTCAGTAAGTGTTACATATAATCAGCAGGTTCCTTGAGTAAAGTGGTCCGTCAGTTACCAGTATGTTTTAAGCACCTGCTATGTGTAGAACATTGAACTAGATCCTTCCTACCGTTAAGGACCAGGGGCACATTCACTCTTTATCACTCAAATGGTTCACTTCATTGTAGTGACAGTTGACATAAAATAGTAAAATATCCAACATGCCAAAAATGCTCATGCTTTTAATGCCAGGAAAAAGTTGCCGGCGTATTCCGAGTACTTCCTTGATCCTGTTGTATGCATTCTCCTAGGTAGAGCCTTCATCTTCAGTTGTGTTTATGAAAATACATTTTGCTTTTGAAATACTAGGGACCGATATCACTGTTGATGATAGTGCAGAGAAGCCCTCCACGTCTTTCAGTGCATAGTGTAGTCCTCTGTAAATGCCTTCGTGTTTTCTGAGCAGGATGTATGAGGTGTGCCATCTCAAAATCAGCTGCTACCCTGTACCTTTGATAGAAGTCACTTCCCTTCCCCTGTGGCCTAGCTAATGTCTGATAAGTATTGTCAGTGTGCAAAAGTCTTTAACTCAGAAATGTTTTATTTATAGCACCTGAGTCTGAACATTTTAGGGACACAGTCTCTGTGGATGGATGTTGTTAACTGTAATTGTTGTTGCCCAGAGCCATGGGTTTTTAAACCCCACTTAGCCACATGGTGTGTCTTACTAATTCTTTGAACTCCTTAGAATAAGTTTTTGTGATAAAGGACTGTGAAATCGAAAGAATGAGGCACTTGTGGGTGCACTAGATAGATTCTGGCAGTATTGTGATTCTGTACAGGATTTTATTTTTAATGACAACGTTCACAAAACTTCTTTTTAAAAAGTATCTTAACATGGCTGTTGATGGTTGCCACTGATATATAAGAAATATATTTGTGTTTTGTACTAAAACACAAATGCAAGAGTGCAATTTTTAAAATCTAGAAGTTAGGGGTTCTTTTGTTAAAGAAAAATGGACTGACCCAAACCATTAAATCTTATTGGAATTTTTATGCATAGAAACTGACTTATTTAAATATGAAATAAACAGTGCCAATATTCATGATGAAGTGAGAAACTAACATTTGGTTTTATTTATTCTATTCAGCAATTATTCAACAGTTTTTAAAGGAATACTACTGTTTTTTTCCTATATTTTTGTTTCTTAGCATTTTTTCAGAATTGTCATTTAATTATTAAATTGTCATTATTTCAGATGGAAATAGGATTTAAAGTTCTTCTTGCATGTAAAATATGTAATTTACAAATTTAAATTATTTTCCTTTTTTAACAAATAGAAGTAAATTTGCTTGTTCTAGTAAATCTTAATTTTCAGGCTTCCTGGATACCTTAATCGTAACCCTCAGTGTTGCACTGGTCAATATGTGGAAACATATTGTTCTACCCTGCTACTTAAATTTATTTGAAAGTGAACTTGCAGTGATGAAGAATTTATGAAAAAGATACTGTATTTCTTTTGCTGTTACAAAAAGTAGCACATGTAAAACTAATTTATGAAAACGTGCTACATGTCCCAAATAAAGACCAAAATGACATTTTGACAATTTTCTGAGTTTGTCTTGTTTTATGAACAGAAAATTATTTACTGGTTGAACAGCACTCCCCCTAACCCCCTCCCTTGCGTGCTATCTTTTTCAGGGCAATTTGAGGTGTTGCTTGGTCTGTTAGTAAAACAGGAAATATCATTCAGATGATGAATTACTCTATCTTTTCTTTCTAGAATGCATTCTCTTTTACTCATGGACTAGCAAGTTCAATTGTGCTTTTGTTTCCTGATCCAAATAAGGCCTTGTTTTTCACTGCACTAGTTGCCTCATGAGACAAGTGAATGCATCTATAAACTATTGTGTATGTGAACTATAAATTATACTTTATGTCTTGCAAGCTGTTGTAAAAGAAATTTGAATTTTGACTTTATTTACAGAAGCCCAGCTTCTCCCACCCCTTTTGTTGGAAGCGGTGGAAATCAGTCCACCTACATTGGTATGTTCTGATTTATCTTACACCAAAACTTATTTTTGGCAAAGTCAGGGGGTATCATAGGTCTGTGTTTACTTTTGTGTAGAATTTTTAAAGTCCTCTTTATCCTTCTCTGCGTTCCCAAAAGAATCTGACTAGATGTAAAATTATATCATCCTGTGACTGGATTTTTTTAGATGAAATTCTGAAAACTAAAGTTCTATACAGAATTTGATTTATAGTCACTTTGAGGAGTTGATTTTCCTTTATCCTGTATCATTTGTATTTGGCGATGGCTCAGTAGTTCTCCACTGGATGTGGAGAGGGGGTGCAAAGAGGGTGGTGATTTTGCCTCTTGGGGGACATCTAGCAATGTCTGGACACATTTCTGGTTGTTACAGCTGGATAAGAGTAGGGCATTGGCATTGAGTAGGGAGAGGTCAAGGATGCTGCTAAATATCCTACACTGCTTTTGGACAGCCCCCCACAACAAGGAATTCTCTGGCCCAGCATGTCAGTAGTGCTGAGGCTGAGAAACCCTGGTGCTGTATGTAGATTATTTCATCTCCTGTAAAAGATATCTTAAGTGAGCTTACTTCAGTAGCTTTTTACACCCATCTCAAAGGTAACGTTCAAATGCAGTAACGGCGGTCTCTCAGAAATAGTATCTCGGGGGCTGGCCCCGTGGCCGAGTAGTTAAGTTCGCATGCTCCGCTTTGGTGGCCCATGGTTCGGATCCTGGGTGTGGATATGGCACCGTTCGTCAGGCCATGCTGAGGCGTCGACCCATATAGCACAACCAGAGGCACTCACAACTAGAATATACAGCTATGTACTGGGGCCTTTGGGGAGAAGAAAAAAAAAGATTGGCAACAGATGTTAGCACAGGTGCCAATCTTTAAAAAAAAAAAGAAATAGTATCTCAACCTTAAAAAAGTGAAGCTTCTCATGGCCAACTTTTCTGGTATGTAAAACAGAAAGGACAGCTGTGTTTTAAGTGGCAATTAAGGCCAAAACAAGATTGAATAATACAGTATACGTCAATGAGCTGACATGAGTAAATGATCGCCTTCTTAGAGTACAGTTGAAGAAAGAGACATGAAAAGAGCTAAAATACTTGTGTTCATCCATGTATTTTTGTACATTGGCACTCTAGCAGGTAATCTGAGCTTGGTAAAGTGAATCCTATATGTTAATATCTGTTCTTGAGAATGGAGACAACACAAGATCCTTATGGTGCTGTGATCCACTGAAACGATGCACTGTATATTCTCGTGCATCAGCCTTTTAACAGAGTACAAGGAAACAGTTCTTATATAGGTAGTCATTGTAATGCCAGAGTGCTGGGAGAAGCTCCCATATGTTTGCATAAAGTATTTGTTAAATAAGTTTATTTAGTCTGCTCTTATAATTTTATTTTGGCTTGTCTTTTCCGATAGGTTATAGAAATTTAGGAAAACTAACATAGCCAAGAATGAAAGAGGAGACCTAAGTTTTCCTCACCCAAGTTTTCTGGGTGAAGAAAATTTAAAATAAATCAACTTCACTTGTATTGGCCAGCTGATGCATGTTGAACAGTTAGGGCTATAAGTGAGTATTTTCCGATGAGAAAGGTATTAATTCATAGAATCTTTGGATACTTCACCCAGAACCTAGGGTATTTTCTTCATCCATTTCATTATAAGTCTTCTATGATCAAGGATAGCCCACATTTTCCAGAAAGAGGTACCATCTTTACTGACAGTGGAAATGGAAAGGGAATGATCAGGAGCTTTACTAGGGGACCTTGTCACTGATGAAACTATTACAGCTAGTGGTCTCATGCTTCCAGTCTGACACTTCCACTTGGAGAGGCATCTAAGATGGGCCTTTTATTAAATACTGCCTTAGAGTGAGTAAATGGTCTTTTTTAATGGTTATATTCTCGATATGGGCTTTGTCTCCCATAAACCTCAGAATGAAGAGAAAATGAAATGTTCCAGGAGCTAGCACTTCACACCAAGAGCATAGGTTGTATTTGGACTTCTTTGAACTTCAAACAACTTGCTTTGTCCCTCTGGGATCTGAGAAGTTTGTTTTATCTTTCTCATCCTGCCTTCCAACATAACATACCAAAAGGGGATTTAGGAACAAAAAAGGTTTGGATATGGATCCTGTTTGTTAAATAGCATTGAGGAATGTAGGTTTGGAACTATTGGGTGTTTCTGGTTAGAAGGCAGTTTCTTTAGTTCATTTAACATTGCCGTGAATGTCAGCACATGCAGTCGCCAAATCACAGCTTCCAGGCTACAAACTGAGTTCTCCGTAATAGGAGCACCGAGGACTAGAAGGTTTAAAATAGATGTCATATGATACCAATTATAACTCAGTGAAATTTTGCAGTCCCAAGAACCTATGCGGAGTGTAAGCCAAAATGGAAGACGGTCCTGTTTTCTATGGCTTTAAAAACATTTTCATTACAATGTTTGCTACTTTTTTTTTCTTCAAGCTTTTAATTAAAGTGTTTTTGGCTCTCCTAACCCATTTCTATATCGTCAAAGGAAACAGAAAAGAAGCGGCTAGGATAGCAGAAGAGATCTATGGTGGAATTTCAGGTAAAAATACATGAATTTGTTCCCAGTACTTTAAAGAAAACCTTCTAGATAATTCATATGAATAATGTTTCTGGAAGGCAGATTTTATTTATACTTTGGCTTTGAGTGGGTAGTTTTAAAAAATTATTATCTCATGTAGCAAATGGTGTTGACTGCACCAATTTGTGAAGGATTTTCAGCTTTGTTTTTTGCAAGTTAACAGTTCTATTAGCAGTTATTATTTAAGAAGTAAATAGAGTAGTGGCTTTCTAAGAGTATCTTGAGACATCTCATTTCTACTAACCAAAAGAATTACTTGTATAGGATTATTTTCTTTAATATTTTTAATCAATCTTTAACAATGCCTTCTAATAAGATTGTTTCCTCAGGAAACAGAATGACCAATAAATTTGATTTAAAGCAGCAAATGTGGCATGCTGTATATACATATTTTTTTGTGCTGTCATTTGCAATTCAAATTGATTCGCCACTAGTGACTGTCAGGAAAAACTCTTCACTAAACCCATTTATAGGTGGCACCACGCAAAGCACTGCAAACAAAGGTTATGATATGAAATGCCAACATTTGGGTAAAACATTTTAAAGTCTCATGCTTTGTAGAATTTAGTCTCCATTTCTTTCCAGAAATGATTCACCTGAATTGTAGTGAGATGCTACAAAAGTAAGTGAATCAGATATCCTTGAAGCTGCTAGGATTGTCACTTGATAGAGGAGTATTTATTCATAAACAGAGTTCAGAATTTCCCTGTGTATTTTTAGTGTTCATAGGGGTTCCAGGATTACATCATTCTTTATCTAGTATCCGTTTCAATTTGCATCCAGGATTCTCTTTCAAAATAGCCTTATGCGATTCCAATACACTAGACAACTTTGAAGACACTAGGTAACAGCAGTCTTTTCCAAAGAAATAAGACCTCCAAGGACGAAGCATCAGAATGCTTCAAGTAACTGGGGAAAATGAGAAGAATCTTGAAGTTTCAGAAAGTGTCAGGCGGCCTGGACTCCGGAAAGAGATTTCTTTTGGGGATTATATTTGTCACACATTTCAGGGAGGTATGTTGCTTAGAGTGGTTAAAAAAATATGTTTATCTTTAGTTTCAAGTTAAGCATGATCTGAAAAGCTATTTTCTAATTTAATTTGTAAATCTGGGCAGGAGCTTTGTAAAAGTTTCGGTAACACTGTTTTGGTATTCTCATAGATACATCGTCCTCATGGTTTAAATTAGGTAAAGTTCAACAAAGTCAATATTGGCAAGAGCATGTTAAAAATGTTTTCTCCTGTTGCTCGTGTGCATTACTTCTGTCTTTGTGGTCCTTAATTAAGTACAGTCATACAAAGTTTTTATGATAGTCAAAACCCATGTAAGCATGGTTCAAATTTAAGTCTGGAGCCATAATACAAGTCTCTTAAATAGAGTTCATTCATTCTTTAGCTCAAATATCTTTACTTGTTTAAGCTCCTAGGATAGAATTGATTTAATTTGCAAGTAGCGTGGTGTTATAAAGGAAAAAATGTATTTTTCGATTATCATTAACAGGAGGCAGGGGGCAGAATAGAGCATGTTAATTTCTCAGTTTAATCTCCTTTCTATATGTATATGTATACACACACACTCACACACCCATATAATAGAGAGTATATCTAGATTGGGTAAATAAGGCTTTCTTTAATAATGTAGGCAGTAACATGCCAGAAACAGTGGTTTTTACATGATTCTAACAGCGTTTCTTCTTTTGACACTGTCAGCAGGCAGACACTATATACTTAAAGCTAGATGTAGTAGAAATCAAGAATAGAATTTTGTGCAAGTGTGCAACTCAAACCAGAAATTATCGTTGCTGCTCATGGGTCAGACAAATGTTTGTTGGGAAAATATGTGACGTTTAATCAGTAAGTTAGCTAATTGACTTCGAAAAGTCTCAGCCCAAGGTTAAATTTCTTGATTCCAATAGCATATTATGTTCCTATAAACTATCACCAGTCCTGTCAA